GTCTCACCAATGAAGAAGAAACCTCATTCTTTTTTTTTTTTATTTTTTTTTTTAGGTACATGTGCTTGCCAAAGATAGACAGAGACAGAGAGAGGGAAAGTGAGAAATCACCCTTCCCAGGTAGATGACCATGCCATAATTTTTTCTCATTTTGGGCACTCATACCCATGTGCCTGGTGTGATTTTCAAGTCACTATGTCTGAGACTTGAACTGTGATTGGCCATGTGGGAGTCCTGCTGGTCCAAAAGCAACCTCATTGATTCCTCATTGTTTTATCCTCCTCCTCCTCCTCCTCCTCCTCCTCCTCCTCCTCCTCCTCTTCTCCTTCTCCTTCTCCTTCTCCTTCTCCTTCTTCTTCTTCTTTTGCCATAGGGCACATGCAATCACAGGGGACAAATAGAGAGAGTAAAAGTGAGAAATCAACCCCTGGGGGGATGGCCACACACCAATCACTTCTCCTCCATTCTTATTCTGGAATTTGGGGCATACAAGCACATGTGCCCAGTGTGATTTTCAAGCTGCCAGATCTGGATGTCAAGCCATGTTTAGCCATGTTGGAGTCCAGTGCCTTAACCACCACATCACCTGCTGGCCCCAAGGCAACCTCATTCTTAACATATGACACACCCATTATTCTCCCACTGGTTTATTTCCCTCTCCATGAGGGACATACCCATAACTCGAAGTCAGACTCTGGAATTTCAGTTGCTCACAGCAACTTGGAGGTTCACAAGGGCGGTCTTGAAGATTTTCCTTGCATGAGAGGTTATATCCATTAGGGAATGCTCACTCCAGGGAAGATGGGCATCATTAGTAGGGAGGGAGGGTGCCTCTGTCCCTAAAGGTAAATCCATGGAGAAAAACTTCCTTCTGCTTATGCCTCCTTGGCCACCCAGGATCTGAATTGTCTAGAGAATTGAGCAATGATAAAACAATGCATTGTTTAGTTTTGTTTTAATGAAGAGCTCTGAGAATTCAACTTCCGGATCTCCATAACTAACTTCTCCATCTGCAGAACTCACCTACAGCTCACCAGCTCTAGGCTACAAGCACTCTCTCTGCACCTCTCCAAAATGTTCATTCAGTCCAGAGAACCAGGGTCTGACATCCATTCCCTGACACCCATGGTCCTAAGAGGGAAGGACCAGGAAAGCCAAGTCTGTTAAATGATACTATCAGAAGAAACCAGAGTACTTGTTGTAAGTACCACGGGGAAAATGATATGGAAAGAAGGAAATTTATTTTTTTTGAAGGTTTTTGCCTTAGGGCACAAGAATTCTCTGGAGATAGACACACTGAGAGGGAAAATGAGAAATCACTCTCAAGGAGGGATGGCCAAGTTGTAATCTCTTCTCTTCCATTCTTCTCCCAGGATTTTGGGCAGGTATGTATGCACATGTGCCTAAAACATGAGTTTCAAGTCACCAGGTCCAGGACTCAAACCACAGTCATCCATGTGGGAGTCCAGTGAGGTAACTGCTAGGCCATCTGCTGCACCCCAGGAAAAACTTTTTATTAGTGATGTCTTCTGGGGTACAGTCTGGGGTAATGAAATAGTGAATAAAGATTAATTCAAAGTCATACATAATTTGTGCCTCTCGCTCTGAAGGAAACCTGTGCAGCTTACTCTCCCCTCATTTCTTGCTTTTATTTTGTTTGTTTGTAGAGCATGTGTGTTCGCTGGAGAGAGAAAGACACACATAGAGTGAGAAAGAAGGTGAGAAATCATTGTCTGGGAATTGGCCACACCACAATCCCATCTCCTCCATTCTCCTCTTGAGATTTTTGGGCACACATGTATATGCATCCAGGGTGACTTTTAATCTGCCAGGTCTAGGACTCAAACAAAGTAGCTGACCATATGGGGTCAACTGCTAGCCCTCTTCTTGCTTTTAATCTCAGAGCCCAATTCCAGAGCCACTCTCCTCCTGCAACAGAAACAAATCCTTTCTTATATATGTTCAAGTCTCAGGATCCAGCTCTATTTCTCCTTTATAATTTTCTCTTAATTGTAAGACACTGACTAAGGGAGGCAGCAGCAAGGAGTGAGAAAGGTTCTTACTTGGAGTCCAACAAGTGTGAGTTCTATTTTAGCCTTTTTCATCCAGGACCCAATGGACCCTGGAAATGTTTCATATGTTCTGTGGATCTATTTCTCATCAACATAGCAGTGAGTATAAAATATGTCAATAGAGGGGCCAGCAGGTGGCATGGTGATTAAGATGCTGGATTCCCACAGGGCTGACCATGGTCCGAGTCCTGGACCCAGCAGCTTGAAAATCACAGAGGGAACCTGTGCATGGTTGCCCAAATATGGAAAGGAGAATGGAGAAGGGATTGTGGTGTGGCTATCCCCCTGGGGTAAGGGGTTGTGACTTCTCACTTTACCACTGTCTGTCTCTCTCTGTTTAGTAGATGCACCCTATGGCAAAAACCTAAGAACAATAAGTAAATAATGTGTCAGTAGAAATAACCAAGACTCTAATATCTCTGACCTGACTTGAATTGCATTCACGCTGGGAAAAGCCATGCTGCATACTATAAAGATGTACAGTGATCATGTAAATTTTTAAAAAATGTAAAACAAACAAAAAAATGATGCTGAAGTTATTTATGAAAGAATGTGTAGGTTGTAGATATTAAAATATATTTTAAAAACAATTTTAAAAATTAAAGTAAAAAATGATCAAAAAAGAGAAATAACCAAGGTTCTGTAAATAATAATAATAATTTAAACACTATATTCTAAACATGAATATAAGTGATGAGGTCTGGAAAAACACAGGTGTTTTGGGGTGCTCAATTGCAGTGGGATTTTTTAATTCACTTTGTTTTATTTTTCAGTTCTGAAAGCAGGAGACACAAAATTGCTAGTCATCATATGAAATTTTTATATTGGCCTGCCCCCAAAAAGCTGGGATATCTGGAAGGCAGGCAGTTTTAGGTTATAGTTGGGTTTAGAACGTTTTAGGTTAGTTTCGGTAAAAACGCAAGTCTTTGTTTCCAAAAGAAAGTCAGAAAAATAATTCCTGTGTTTATCTTTAACAGAGATAAGAAGGCTTATGTATCTACTGTATCTAATTGTAGATTCTATATATCTAGTAACATTTTGCCAGGGACAAGATATATGGAGCATCCCACAATCACTGTAACAAAGGAGTCTGTGACATGGGGCCAGCAGGTGGTGAGGTGCTTAAGGTGCTAGACTCCCACATGGCCAACCATGGTTTGAGTCCTGGAACTAGCACCTTGCTTTCTCACTCTATCAAATTAAGTGAAATAGATAATTAACTCTGTTGAATTAAATTAAATAGATCATTTTTAAAGAATATCTTATTTTTTAAAGAATTGTTTAATTTTATTTATTATTACTGTTATTTTTTTTTTTAACTTGACCAGAGATGGAGGGAAAGTGAGAAAGCAAGCTGTCAGGTCCAGGACTTGAACCACAGTTAGTCATGTGGAAGTTCAGCCCCCAACCATGTCATCTACTGGCCCCAATGAATATTTTTTAAAAAAATTAGTCTGTTACAGCAAGATTAGTGTTTGTAGAGGTGACTCTCCTGGGACCCCTTAGAAATTACCTTAGAATCCCCACTTAATATATTTTTTTTTTTTTTTTTTAAAGCAGTCTGTTACAGCAAGATTAGTGTTTGTAGAGGTGACTCTCCTGGGACCCCTTAGAAATTACCTTAGAATCCCCACTTAATATATACCAAATGTCTGTACTCTATGGTTGAAACTGAAAGACTAGAAGGTACAAAATCATGGAGAGTAACTAAGGATACTAGAGTCAGTGTGGGAGGAGCTGGGTGGGAAATGGGGGTGTAGGAGGGAGAGAGTCAAGGGGGAAGAAAGAAACAAAACATTTAAAGGACATAAAAATGGAAAATGATGTGTTGATGATAATGTGTATGGTAATATCTTTGCCTGGACTAATAAAGAGTGTATTCATGCTGGGAAAATTCATTTTGTGTGGTGTAAAGATGTACAGTGATTGAATATAAAAATTTAAAAAAGATGAAGAAGAAGAAAAGAATAAAACAGTGTCTTACAATAGGAAAAGTAGTCAGAATTCTGTCCTCCAAAGATCTCAGATAAGACTATCGATACGATGAGCCAAGTTTAGAACCAAGGGTCAAGACCAACAGGTGGTGTTGTGATTATAACACTGGGCTCCTACATGGCAGATGGCAATTTGAGTCCCAGACCCAAAGGATTGAAAATCACACCAGGCTCCATGTGCATGTATGCCCAAATCCCAGGAGAAGAATGGAGTTGAAGAGTTTGTGGCAAGGCCATCCCCCCTACCCCGGGATGATTTATCACTTTCCTTTTCACTGTCTATCTCTCTTTGGCAACACACCTTAAGACAAAATTCTTTAAAAAAAAATGAAGTATTTCTCTAATAAGGCTAATACCTGAGTTTTTGCAGGGCCAGAATTTATTAATTATTATTTTTTTTCCTGTGTCATGCTTTCTTGTTTCATGGCAATCCTTGTAATATTTTGTTGAGAGCAGGGTATTTTGAATAATATAATGTGGTAACTCTAGAAATTTAATTCTCCCTCCACCTTGAGTTTTATTATGGATTGGGTTGTCTGTTTGCTTAATGACTCTTCAACTATTGGGTCATCAGAAAAGTCATGACATAGTTTTACACAGAAAAATATGTCATGACTTTTCCAATGGCTCAATAATTTTGGAAAGATTACATATTTTTGTCAGGTGTGGTTACCGAAGTCTCTATTCTGTTGATTCTGGCTGGTGATTGGGAAGCCAGGCTGTAGAGGGTTCCAGTATTATAGAATTGAGGTTATTTTTTATTGACTAGTGGTAGCAAAGGAAAAGGTGGGAGCATTTCCAATTCCCCAATGAAAGGCAACAAAGAAAAAGCAAGATTGTATGAATTCTTTTGCTTGAAATGAAATGGAACCAAATTTAAGGACTGTTATGTTAATTGCTTGCCATTCCTTCCTTTTTTCTGGTAGTTATTCCCATGGAAATAGGAAATCAAACATGTGTTCCAGAATTTGTCCTCCTGGGATTTTCAGCAAAATCAGAGATTCAGTTCATTCTCTTCGGGCTGTTCCTCTCTGTGTACCTGGTCACCATCATCGGGAACCTACTCATTATCCTGGCCATAAGCTCAGACTCCCACCTGCACACACCCATGTACTTCTTCCTCTCCAACCTGTCCTTCACTGACATCTGCTTCACCTCCACCACCGTCCCAAAGATGCTGGTGAACATCCAGACCCAAAGCAAGGTCATCACTTATGCAGGCTGTCTAACTCAGATATTCTTTTTCACTGTGTTTGGATGCCTGGATAATTTAATCCTGACTGTGATGGCCTATGACCGCTTCGTGGCCATCTGTCACCCCCTGCACTACACGGTCATTATGAATGCCCAGTTTTGTGGACTGCTGGTTCTCGGAGCTTGGTGCATTAGTATCATGGGCTCCCTTCTTGAGACTTTGACCATTTTGAGGCTGTCCTTCTGTGCAAACATAGAAATCCCACACTTCTTTTGTGATCTTCCCGAAGTCCTAAAGCTCGCCTGTTCTGACATCCTCATCAATAACATAGTGGTGTACTGTGCAACAGGCCTTTTGGCTGTGATTCCTTTCAGTGGGATACTTTTTTCTTACTATCAAATTGTCTCTTCCATCCTGAGAATTTCATCAGTTGAGGGCAAGTACAGAGCCTTCTCCACCTGTGGGTCTCACCTCTCAGTGGTGTCCCTGTTCTATGGCACAAGCCTGGGGGTCTACCTCAGTTCTGCAGCCACACCATCCTCTAGGATGAATATGATGACCTCAGTGATGTATACCATGGTCATTCCCATGCTGAACCCCTTCATCTACAGTTTGAGGAACAGGGACATGAAGGGTGTCCTAGGGAGACTCCTTGGTAGGTGGATGCTTCTCAATGATGAGGTCATTGCAGGGCTTTCCTGAGTAGCAAGGAGGCCTTTGTCCATGGATCTTGTTTATATCCAAACACCAATCTATCCTCTTTCAGTTCTAGAATTATTGTATCTTACTGTCTTTTTTTTTTTTAAGAGGTTTTTGCCATAGGGTGCATGCACTCACTGTAAAGAGAGAGAGAGAGACAGAAACAGTGAGAAGGACAGTGAGAAATCGCTCCCTGGGTGGATGGTCACTCTGCAATTCCTTCTTCTACATTCTTCTTCTGGGATCTCGGGCATGCATGCACATGTGCCCGGCATGATTTTCAAGCCACCGAGTCCAGGATTCAAACTGTGATTGGTCATGTGGGAATCCAGAAACTTAACCACTATACCATCTTCTGGCTCCTCTTATTGTGTCTTGATTTTGACAATTTTTGAAGCCAGTGTATTTATTAACTTACTTGAACAGTTTAACAGAGTATCAAAACACAGCATGCTTTCTCAGTCAGAATTTTAAATTTTATGGTCCAATTACTGATTTTTCCCCCCTCTTTTCTGCTAAAAATTCATGTTCAGAAGAACTTCTACCTTCCAAGTTTTTATGTGCCTATGTATAAATAGCTTCATTTAGGCATTCCATAATGTATACCTATAGATGTATGTATTGTACTCCATAGATGTATGTATAATGTTAATTCATTAATTAAAAGTCAAATTTGAGGTGCCAGCAAGTGGTGTGGTGGTTAAGTATTGGATCTCCACATGGGCAGTCATGGTTTGAATCCTGGACCTGGCTGCTTGGAAATCACATTGGGTGTGTGTGTGCATGCCTGAAATCCCAGAATGAGAATGATTGTGGAGTGGCAATCACCTCCCAGGCAGTGATTTCTCACTTTCTGTCTTTCACTTTCTCTCTCTCTCTCTGGTGATTGCAAATGCCCTATGGTAAAAACCTAAAATCAATCAATCAATCAATAAGTAAATTCTAAATGTATCAGATCTATGTATCTGTCTTTGTTTTCTTTTTATATTTCATAAGATCTGCTTTCACATTTTACACTTGAAATTTACTTAGAAATATGGAGATGGGATTGAGCATTCTTTTATTTTTCTAAACAATTAATCACTAAATAGTTAGCTGTACCTTTAAAGAAAAACTTATGATCACTAGAAATAAAAAGTATAAGATTACTTGATAGTAAAATATATCTCAAAGAATGTTAAGCATTTTATTAAATTATAAAACTCTAAGACTATTCTCTTGAAAGAAAGGGAGAAAAGTAGTTTCAACACTTACCATAAATTTGAACAGTGTTCTGAAATTTACAGCCAAGGTAATGTAAGCTAATAGTGAAATATACCTTGGGATGTGGTGAAAGGGGAACTCTCTTACACTGCTGGTGGGAATGTTAATTGGTGCAGCCACTGTGGAGAACAATTA